AGGGGAGCAGCGCATGAGACAAGGGAGGTCTGCTGCTCCATGTGAATCACCTCTGGGGCTGGGGATCCAACCAACTCACACTGAAGCAGCTGTGGCTAGCTTGCAGTGCTGCATCTTAGCCTGTTGAGCCACCAGGGAGGGCTTGTTTATATATTTTTAAAGATTATGCATACAGAACTGGGGTACAGGCCAGAGGTGCAGAGGTGGTGAGAGGGTTCACCAGAGACAGAATGAGACAGAGACAGAGTGACGAAGTACACTGCTGAGGGGAGCAGCTGGCAAGACAGGATAGGTCTGCCTTGTCCTGTGGGTCACCTCCCCGGCAGGGGATCAAATTCATGCTGAAGCAGCTGTGGCTAACTTTGTAGTGCTATGTTTTGTAGTGCTGCCCTTCCACTAAAAAAGTCCCTAATTTTGTTTACATTATATGGAGAATTTTAGCATGTATATTCAAAAGGGAGATTGTTTTGTAATATCTTTTTTGTCTTGTCTTTGGTTTTGGTATTATTCTATTATTTTAAAGATTTATTTTTATTTATGCATACAACATCAAATTTGGGGTTGGGGGGTTAGTGAGAGGACTCTATAGAGACAGAGTGGGGAGCAGAAGAGGTGGATCTACTGGAATAACACTGGTGAGGGGAGCAGTGGGTGAGACAGGAGAGGTCTGCTATGCCATGTGGGTCACCTCCCTGTTGGGGATGGATCTCATGCCTCAGTGGCTGGCAATAGCGCTTGAAAGCATGAGACTTAAACCCCTGTGCCACAAGGAGTGCCCTTGGTATTAGTTTAATGATGGCTTTGTAAAGTATATCTAGTAGTATTCCTTCTTTCTTGATTTTGAAAGCGTTTTTATACGACGGGCATTAGTTCACTTTTGAATTTTGGTAGAACTTGTTGCGAAATCATGTGGTCCTAGCTTTAGTTTTTGGAAGGGTTTTGATTTCTCTTTCAGTTTCACTGCTTGTAAGTAGTTTGTTTTATGACTTTATTTTGCTCGACTTTGGCCAGTTGTATAGTTCTAAGAATGTGTCCATCTCATTTAGATTGTTTAACTTGTTTGCATTAAATGTTCATAGTAATCTTTAATTATCCTCTTGACTTCTGCTGTGTCTATTGTAACTTCTCCCTTTTCATTATGGTCCTACTTAAATTTTTTCTAGTCTTTATTTTTGTGAGTCTGGCTAAATGTTTGTCTATCTTGTTTATTTTTCAGAGAACCAGCTTTTAGTTTCATTGATCTTTTGGAATTTCTTTTTTATTTCTATTTCATTTATTTCTGCTTTAATTTTAATTGTTTCCTTTTTTTACTT